TATATATATATATTCTTTTTAAAGGCAATTAGAGTAAAAATTGTTTTCAATTGGGCTCGCCATAATCCTGGTCTGAAATTTAGGCCAGTCTAACTGGAGGGAAGATCAATCGGCATTGCAGTAATCTTTAATCGGGCGGTCTACTCTTAAATTGAAGTGGTTTATAACTGGAGGGAGGCCTGCATATAAATTTAACAGCAATATGAAGTCAGATCGGATATTGTGGCCTACGTTATTTTTATTAAAAATTAATTTTATAATTTAGTCAGTCAATCAATGAATTTATAAGATTATGTCGTAACGTATGATTGTTGTTAAATAATTATAAAATGCATGAAAAAGTGAAGAATGGTCCATGAGCAGCTTTCTGAAATGGATATGTCCGGTTTATGAGAGGACATTATCTTCATCATCCTCATTGTTATCAACATCATCACCATCAATCCTCATTATCGTAATCAGCATTTTTAAATCTTAAAAAAAAAAAAAAAAAAAAAAATGAATCCTATCTATCAGCCAGCCTTGAATCTATTTTAACACATGCTCATATTTTCTTTAGTTGGCCTATTTGTTGGAAGCTTTGATCCGAGTACAACATCCATTGCTTCCTGCAAGACATGATAATGTGGCGATTTTCAAAGGCCTAATGAAATTTTAGTGCATAGTTTTAACACTGAAATACGGTCTCATAACAGTTTGTCAAACTCACAGGCCTCTAGATAAAAAACAAATATATCCTGGAAAATTCCCAATATTGGCATCACAATTTCTGATCTCCAAAAAAACGAATCTCCTTTCAGAATGATTCTGAAGTACACAGGTGGACGTAGGATGTTGTGGCACTGAATGTTCATAGTTTCGTGCGCTAAACAAGTAGCGAACGACTAGGGGTACTCCCCAGGGAGCAGAGGATGTCGCACTTTGTGCTGGTTTGCCATTGTACGTTATTCAGTGACCAGGGGTAATAACGATCGCGCCTTTGTTCATTCTTGGAATTGGCGCCTTATAAATGTTTGAGTATTATTATTTTTATTATTATTATTATTAATAACTTTCTTATTATTCAGGTTGTGCGTTTACGATAATTTCTTTCGTTTTTTTAAACATTTATTAGATCCAAGGTTTATCCATTATCTGTACTAATCAAAAGCTATTTTCTGGCAATTTTTGTAGATATATACCTAGTGTCTAATACATTTAAAAAATTCCTCACTGAATGTAAGGCCCGCCCCTTGGATATTGTTGCTAAGGTCCCACGTAGGACACAGGCGTATTCTTGGCCCAGTTCTGATTGGTCAGTTGTTAAGTTTGATTGACACTCCGAAAAAGTATGACAAATCGAAACAATTATTTTGTTGATTTACTATGAACAGTCCATCAGCTGATTTAAGGGCATGCCTATATGGAAAGAACATAAGTACCGTCTTATTACCGTATAAATACGTCTGTTGGCGAGGACGATATTTTTTCTTTGGTTTCTTATATTTCAATGGATTTTCCAGTCATTCACACTTAATTGACGAATCAGAACATGGGCCAGAATGTGCTATAGCATGGAGGAATAAATTTCATATTCCTCCTATGTACGTTTACTTTTTGGAACATTATCAGCATCAAGGAGCTGGGTTGGCAACAAAATAACCTACGCAATTATCAAGCTTTTATTGATGCAGTATAGCCACTGGAATTAAGTATTATACACTTATTAGGCTTATTACATGCTATCTGAAGTGTCATACAAGCCTTTGGTACACGTTACAACGATGCCGCAATTAATCGATGCATTATTATGCAAAGGAAGAAAGTAACAGTAACAACACCCTGACTACAATAAATAAATCACACGAAAGAAAACAAAATGAGAACTTCAGTGTTCATATTGCCAAAAGGATAACTTTAATGCAGCTGCTTATCAGTAATTAAAAGAATGTTTAATGTTCGACTTACCCACCACCCCTACCTAAAGAATGAAATGGAAAAATACATAAATATGGAAATTGTTTACAATTGACATACACCTACTAGCTGCTAAGTGAGTCATGTTGGCTTTAACTGTGTATAATACAAGATGTAATGACAAAAACCTAGTGATAACATATTATATATGCTTAACACATATTTCAGGTGAATGCATTCTAGATTCAATTACACAATTATTGATATATTTCTATTCACATTTGTTTGTACATCTTTACATGATTGTATATAATTTAAATATATAAAACATTTCTTTTGCTGTTGTGCACTTTCTTCAAGCATCTCTTTCAAATGTAGGCCAATTTCTTCACAATTTATATCACATTAGCAAGCCTAAATTAAAATTATTTATTTAATATTCTTAAAATCTCAGATATCAGTATTTTTTGGTTGAAATCATACACAATTAACCATTTTTATATGCTAAATAAACTTAAAATTTGAATAACAGCTGCAGAGAATCTTTGTTAAAGACGTTCCAGGGTCATATCGATAATTAAAACTATACTATCTTGATGTAGCTTCGTATGAGACCAATATTTAGTCTCACATTTTATTGTGGGCATGGTATTATATTGCCCTCAAAAATGCTATCTATCTACTGCCCATTAGCATCGCCACCCCCGACGAAGCCAACAGAGTTGCCAAGCTGCGGTGTCTCTACTTCATATTCACAAGCGTCGCAGCTGCAAGCCTCAATGACAAGGTATTGATAATCACGTGTGTCACCGTTTTCGCACATGAGTGGTACCGTGCTGGTGGTTGTGCTTGTTGGCTTGCAACATTCACAGGCGACATCCATGTACGGCATATCAAGGGTGGTGTTAGCTCGGGAATTACAGCGTCCTTGACACATTGTGTGACGAATTGGAATCTGGGCTTCGCATCCATCGACGACTAGACCATCAATCTGATCGGACACCACTCTGCAAATTTCTGATGGCTCTGTAGTCAGAAATAATTTAAATTTATTGCATAGCATAATACAACAATTTATGTTGTAATACACAGTGAACGAATATTATTTAGAAAATCATTGTGTGTTTTTACTAACATAAAATATGCTTGTATATCAATGATGGGTTGACATTAATGTGAAATTGTGGAGTGTATTCACAATACTGTAAAATGAAAAGTTTTTGTCATTTACTAAAAAGTCTTTTATACTGTAATATACTTGGCACCTTTGAAATTATATCAATTTGGGTGGTAAAAAATATATATATTGTAATTATTAAAATTACCATAGTAGGGCCCATTTATATTATTATCATATTATTATTGTCCATATTACTATCATTGTCAAAATATAAATTAGAACAATGCTTTTAAGTTTTTATGATAAATAATACACATGAAATTCAATCAATTAATACACAAAAATGATTAAAAATATGAAGTATCCAATGGATACTGATATGTAATATAGGATTGCTCAACATAAACAGATTGAAACACATCTCACAATGTATTATTCACTTTGATAAAAATATAACAAAATAACAGCACATCAAGCTGTCCAGATTACCAAATATTCTCTGACAAAATGAATGTTGTATGCCAAAAGTCATGATGTGATGTCATCATGACCATATTTAGGCATGTCATTTGTTTTTGTCAAATAAAATCTAATAGTCTAGACAGGGCTTAATGCCAAGACATTCAGCCGCTAAGTTATATAAGTTTGAAAGGCAAATGGGAAAAACCCATAAAACAGCAAACGGCCATATAATGCAAAACAATTAATCTGTCTCTTATACACATCTAGATGTGTATAAGAGACAGACATATGGGACAGCATTCTCCATCAATGTATCGCAGAGTGCCCTAAATGATGTAATTGGAAACAGAAATTTTTAAAATAATTATAAACTCCAAGCTTCCCCCACTATTATTATAATTTACATAATTTGAAATTGAGTTTGTTATCAATGTTCATTTAAGCCAGACAACACACACTGGAAAACAATCCCTCTCCTCTCTGTGTAAAGCCTGACACGCACTGTGTCGTAGAACAAAACCAAAACTCCGCTTCCTGTGAGTGCTAGACGACGCAACGCCATTTGCTGGATTGTCATTAACACGTTGACTGCCAGACCTTTTTTAAGGTTTGTTCCCGTGTGCCAAAACAAGTTTACATGTACAGTACAAACATACTTTTTGAGATTTCATCTAGACATATATCATCAAAATGATGTGTCTAATAAATTGGCGGGAAAATATCAGGGGACGAGTAAACTCGTCAATGGCACTGTGACAGCACTTTTTATTGACTATGCCAAGTGCGAGTTATTTCGTCCGCTTTTTGCATGGGTTGGTATATGTTCAAATGGGGGGGGGAGAAAGTGGGGCCAATCGAGATAACAACACCCTAGGGGTTCCGGGGGCCAACCCCCACGAAATTTTTGTTTTCCAGACCCCTGAAAATAACCTGTGAAGCATAGGTGTACCTTCCCCGGACTACCAGCCGTTGAGTCTGTGGTTCTAAAATGTATAACAAAGAAGCAATAAACACTAGTATTCTCGTCCCTGGCGAGTATACTCGTCGCTGGCACCCAATATATTAAAAACAATCTGTTGCACACGCAATTAAATTGTGTCGGTAATGACCATTGAGCACAGTGAGCGCCATGCTATAGCACTTGACAAAGTGAGGCCTGAGCAGATCATCATTAGGGAGCTTAGGAATGCACAACGACGGTAGAACGTAGAACGTAATGACGTCACTAAAAGTCATCTGCAATTGCGAGAACGTTCTTCTAGTCGCGTGGATTCTAGGATGCAATTTGGCCAAATAATCTACATATGCGGTAGGATGGTCACGCATGAGTGATTGCGTTCTAGTGTTGCGTCGTTGCGCAAATCGAATCGAACTATGATCCCATACCTCATCACAAGATATATCACAACTAGCAGTTACAGTTGTCACACCTTCATCTGTACAGGAAATTTCTTCACATGCACTTTCGGATGGAATTTCCTCCCCAATCTGCAAAAAGTGACATTATATTTTAGTGAAACTGTATAAATGCATGTTTAATGTGTACTTGAAATTGGTTAATACTATGATGAAATATGGTCTAAATTTGAATGTTTCTTCTATTCAGCAATTGTTGACTAGCTTGGGTGTGGTCGTTGTTTGTTGAGCGACGTCAAAGGAATGAAGACGATCCTTGGACGTGGGCGCAGTCATGTACTGGAACAATCGGTCGGTTCTATTATTGTCGTAGGGGTCTTCTTAAAGGAACAATGGGAATTAGTCGGTTTATCCAGGTAAGTACTCACGAAATAGACATGCACGTTTAATGTGTACTTGAAATTGTTTAATACAATGATGAAATATGGTCTAAATTTGAATGTTTCAAACAGGCCAATAACAGTTAAAGTGACCTATATGGTTTATATTACGGATCAAGGCATTTACTGTATGAGCTAGTCCATGCTTGAGCAATTTGAGACTTCAGTATATAAAAATGTATAATAAATTAAAACTCAATTTAAATAAAATCGGACAATTATCAATCACCAAAGACAATCTACTTACATTGTAGATCAAACCATTGTAAAGGCATTCTGTAGACATAAGGAAATGAGAACAATTTAAGTCACAACAATTATATCTATCCATCAACATTTAGTTGTTTAAAATTGTTTATAACATTGTGTATTATCATAAGTTTAGAATAAAAAATTATTTCGTACTTTTTATACAGTACGCTGGGGTGGGGGTGGGGGAAGAGAAGAATGAACATTTTTTTAGTTCTACAATTAAAAATCTGTCATACTAAGTTTTCAACGATTTTGGTTTAAATTTTTTTTTTCTCAAGTGCTAGAACATTTCTTTAAATTGGATAGTTATACAGTACTACATACAAATTTTAATATTTTTATCTAATGTTGTCTTGATAATCATTTATCAGTTAGATTAATTGAAATTTCATATTAAAGGATCTTTTGATTTTACTTATATTTACAAAATATTCTTTAAATTGCAAAATTATGTAATAAATAATAACATCAGCATATTTCATCTTTAATGGAAGACGGAAAATGAGATAAAAATATACATTTTAAAGTTACTGGCTTACCTTGTGGCGTGACAGCTAGAAAATGAGAAAAGAAAAAATGAAATAAATCAACAAAAGGAATATAATGAAGTTAATACTCTGTATAAAGACAACATCGATGCATATAAAGTTACACATTTAAAGCACTGAAATGATACCTTAGAACACACAATTAAAAGTAAAGTGAAAAAGCCCACTGTGCAAATGCATGATTAGGTTTGGATCTAGAATTTTTCAAACGGTGGGAGGGGATCCCGGGGCACAACAGTTTCAGAATAGATGAATGAGTAGCACATAACATTGATATGCATTGAAATTTTAAAAATTTTGTGGCAAAAAACGGGGAGGGGGAGGATGAGGATGTCCCCGTTCCCCCTACTGGATTCGCCCCTGCATGATAAGGTAAGAATTATTGCAATGCAAGTTTTGTTGGTTGTTAACCTGCTTGCTTTCTCTCTATGGGTTATGTGTTAAAATCCTGTAATTTTCAGGATGTTTTCACATTATATCAACTGCACTCCCTACACTTAAAACGAGGGGAAGATAATCTAAAGAGCATAATTTATGTTCATCTTGTAGCTGTTAGAAAATAATAACAATAATAACAATGATAACAATACTACTACTAATATTTAAAAAAAAAATAGTATAATTAACAATTAGTATAATAATAACTAGCACTAACTCGGACTTAAGGGGAATATCTTTTGTGTTATTTTCCCCTTAACGTCATGTTATTTTCCCCTTAACGTTTTTTTAATTGTTCTCTACTTTCTCCATTGTATAAGTTCCGCTTAAGTTAGGTTTTAGTAACATAATAATAACTAATAATAATAATAATAACAACAACAACGAGAAGAATAATAATAATGTATGAAGGTTGCATGGCGCAATAACCAACAACAACAGTTCTTTTCACAACTATCTATGTGGTTGTACTGCAAGCATTAATATATAACAATAATAATAATAATAATAATAATAATAATAATAATAATAATAATAATAATAATAAATAATAATAATAATAATAATAATTTCACTAAATCGGACTTAAGGAAAATATCTTTTGTGTTATTTTCCCCATATAACGTCAAGTTATTTTCCCCTTAAAGTTGTTTTTGTAATTGTTCTCTAATTTCTCCATTGTCTAAGTTCCAGTTAAGGTAGGTTTTAGTAACATAATAATAATAATAATAATAACAATAATAATAATAATAATAATATAAATATAATAATACAATTACTCACGGGTACTTTCAGTTGTCGATGTCGAGGTTGAACGTGTTGTGACAATTATTGGTGTTGTTGTAGTCTCGACATGAGTTACTCCTGTGGAAGTTGTAGTTGTCTCTGTAGAAGTAGTAGTTCCCTCCGTGGTGGTGGACATTGTAGTGGTCGTTTCTGTTGGCGTAATTGTGGTTGAATGCACAGTGGTCTCGGATGGTGTCTGTGTTGTTGTGGTTATTGTAGTAGACACTACTGTTGTTTCGGCTGGAGTTGACTCTGTAGTAATTATCATGGTTGTTGTTTCCGTCGATACTGTAAGAGGCAATAGACAATATTCAATAGACTGAAAATGAGGAAGACTGTAGCCTGACCCATAGCATGCTGGGAGGACTGCTTTATTCTTTCCAAAGAGATATTTCATATATTGTCTTATTCATTTGGATATTATTATTTATTATTATTTATTTTATTTCAACATGAAATGATGAATTTTTTTATTATTTAGAACACTATCATGTACAATTTTTATAAGTTGTACAATTACAAAAAAAACAACAAAAAAAAAAAACAGGCAAAAAAGACATTACAGAAACCATGCCCGCGGATGCAGCGTATAATTACTGCAGGCCCGTAGCCAGGGGGAATTTTATGGTTCAGGCAAACCCCCTTTTCTAGAGAACCCTTCATTTCTGGCGAAACCCCCTTCCAATTTCCCGGACGAGTCTTCCAACCCCACTAGTACACTGCAGACCACCAAGAATCAGACGGAATATTTTGCTGCAAACCTTTTCCAAACATAACTGATTTTATAACATTATTTAGATGCATAAGACACAAAAAATTGCTCTAGTTTGGGGGCTCCATTCCCATTCTTTAGAAGAACCAGTGCATTGCTTTACTGCCTGCATGCAAATTTCACTTTTATCAAGTTAGTAAAAACTAACAGTATCTCACTAGAAATATATTGGGAAGTACATGCAGCCTTTAGCATATGTCTCATAAAATATTCTTTCTTGTGTGAATTTGGTATAAGTATGATGCATTCCAGAGATGTGATGATAAATATATATATATATACTGTCTCTTATACACATCTAGATGTGTATAATAAGTCGTTAAGTTTTGATTTGTGAGTGTAGAGCTTATCCAAAAAAAATAATGTTGTTATCTTACAGTATATCTCACAGTAAAATGTAAATTTTTTCTTACAATACAATGAATCTCCCATTCTCCATCCAAGGAGTGGGAGTTGAGACCAACAAAGAATGACGTACCTTGTGCTGCACAACCAAGTATATCAAACTGAAGACTTGGATATTCTCCAATATAGTCTATTACATCTATCCTTATCTCTTCAAGAGGTCCAACTGGGTTTTCAAATTCAATCACTTTTATGCTACTTGGGTCCTCTTCATTCAAGACATCAAAATTCTAAAAGTATTATAAATTGACATTAATACAAATAGATATATTTTAATATATCCATTTATTTCAATTTACAATAAAACTTTTAACAATAATACAATAACCAAAATGAACTTAAGTTTAATAAAAGATCATACCGTAAACTTCTAATTGAAACCCACTATTTCCAAATAAAATGGGTAGTACCTTGTTTTGACTAATTTATTTTAAACACATGCTTTTGCTAACTCAAGCAAGCTTCCTCAGGTGAATGAATGAATGAATGAAATACAACATACACCTTAAAAATGTATCTATAATAATGACTAATATATGATATAGGCTTATATGAATTCCAAAAATTCAAAAGTTGAGGGCTCAATCCCAATACAGAGTTCTAGAAAATAAGGACTTCCAAACCCTATTGTTGATACTGTACATTGTTAACAATGATGGTGTGTCATGCTAGTTATAGAATATTAAAAAATATATACAGTAAATTTAGAGGAAGCATCAACAAGCATACTGTAAAATCATGGAGAAATAATGCTAAATTTACACAACCTACCCCAACACTTCTGTCGTCATAGGAAATCGAAACATCTGAGGCAGCATTGTCGGTACTTCCACGGAAACGAATGCCAGAAACCATCACTGGTACCAAAAATGAGACACTGGCATATACATCTTCTGGGTTAACAGGATGGAAAGTGTTCACACTATTCAGCAGCGTATCTCCGCTAATAGCATCAGAACTGTATCGAACTTCTTCCTGATCATCCAAATTACGGTCACAGACCTCCTCTGAAAGTAAAGGAAAAAAAAAATCAACAGATTCTTGCCTATGATTCTATCACTTCCTTTGCAAGAGACTAAATTGTGAATGATAAAACTTTGCATCAATTATCATGACCTATAAACAAAAGTGAATATTTTCTGTCCTCCATGTATAATTTAATTTGGTGCTGCTTTATATCTTGTAGTAAACATGATGTCTTTTTGCAAAAAAAAAAAAAAAAAAGAAAAAAAAAAGGAGGATCCACTAATTTTGATTTTTGAACATAAAAGGGAAATAAATTACTATGTACAAAATTAAAATTAACAAAATATCGAGAGTTGTTTGGAGTCTCTCAACCCAATGTTTAATACAGGTTTAAATGTCTAATAGCCAGTGCCTCCATGAATAAAATCTGTGACCAGTGTAGAGAGCTGTCAAATACTCAGATTTCTTTTAGAGCTGAGGTAATATAATTTTCCTTTTTTTTTTTTTGTAAAAATCTGTATGGAAACTTATTATTGCAAAATTTAACTATAAAAATCTTTACCAAAAACATACACAATGCATTAAAACATTACACCAAAACATTTTATTTACCAGTGGTAAGACGTGTGGTTGAAATGGTGGTTGTTTCAATTGATGTAGTACCCTCAGTAGTGGTAGACCTGGTTGTAGTGATAGTCTCGGTTGTTGGTGCCTCGGTCGTTGGAGCCTCTGTTGTTGGTGCCTCGGTCGTTGGAGCCTCTGTTGCTGGTGCCTCGGTCGTTGGAGCCTCGGTCGTTGGCACCTCCGTCGTTGGAGGCTCGGTTGTTGGAGCCTCTGTCATTGGTGCCTCGGTCGTTGGCGTCTCGGTCGTTGGTGCCTCGGTTGTTGGAGCCTCAGTCATTGGTGCCTCGGTTGTTGGCACCTCGGTTGTTGGTACAGTTGTTGTCGTTTCCACAGTCGTCGTTTCCACAATGATACTCTCTGTTGTAGTAACGGTTGTAGTAACTGTGGTTGTGGGATTTGGTGTAGTAGTTGTAACTGTGGTTGAGGGAGTTGTAGTATGAATATGTGTTGGTGTCGGTGATGTTGTTGTAACCACTGTTGTAGTAACTGTCGTTGTTTCTGTTGGCGTAGTAGTTGCTGTGGTCACAGTGCTAGATGTTGTGGCGAGGGATACACACTCACAGCATGATTGTTCTTGATTTGCTAAGACCATTCCTTGCTGTGAAATCAATACATATTCCAATTAAGATATTTTGTCATTAACAAGTGAAACTCTTACTAATGATTAAGAGTTGAATAGACACAATCAGCAACTCCGAACTAGTAATGGTGATGTGATGTTTAGTTGGTACAACATACAGTGCAATGTAAAAGTTTAAGAAGAAGGAATTTAATGAGATATAATGCTCCGATGATAGGAATTGCTAGGGCTACCCACATAAAATACTGTTGGGAAAAAAATAAACAGCAAGGAAAGACAATTTAACTGTATAAAATAGCATTTTTATACTTTATTTTGCAATCTCAGTGCATTTCATACTTTTCAATCTGTAAGCTTAAGCACCCGGTGCACAATCTCGATGCAGATATAAGATCTGGACCGGAATCTCCTTAAAAAAAAACTCAATATTTTAAAGAATTCGCAAACCTCTTTTTTGACAATGTTTAAAATCATTTAAGAGCAGTTTACTGGCATTCAACCAACATTATTTCTTTGATGTTGATCTATCATGAAAAGCATTTAAAGATTAAAAAAATAATTACTGTACTGTAATATCTGTTTTGTATTTTCGGTCTTGCTAGATTTATTTCTCAATTAAATTAAGACAGACTGCTATACAGGCTGTATATTTATCTGCAACCTTTGTCTCTTCATCATTGTTTATGTGAATTCAGGTTGAAAACACCATTGAAGGAAGACATACCATTTCACATGATTGATCTGTAAGTCGACAGCCAGCTGTGCAGACTGTCTCACCATTTGAGCATGTACACTCCTCACAGTCACTCATCCAGAATGTTTCTCCCTCCTTTAAAACAAAACAAAATTTAATTGATTCAACAAGATATAGTAGCTTTTACTCCCTGAACTTATTTTACTTGGATTATATGCTTTACACCTGATAAAGGAATATGGCTGAAAACATTTGTGTCATCTTCATTAATAAAATTATTTATATATATTTACACAACATCATTTTCAACACACTCTATTAAAATGTTCAACTAAAGTAGATTTTTTTTTTCTAACCTGGATGGGACTAATAAGTTTTTATGATCACATAATAACCCTTTTTGACGTTAATATTTTTTTTTTTTTTTAATTTATTTATTTGTTCTTTATACTGGGTTTCCTCTTCAGTAAAAAATTACTGTTCTCCCAGAGGGCCCAGTTCACATACAACAGTCCACGACGGGGGCCGGGTGAACCAGTACACCAGGGTAACCCCCTACTCATCTCGAAGGATGTACTGGGTTCTTTAAAGTGCACATGAGCATTTGTGTACGCTGGGCCTACAGTTTATAGTCCTTATCCAAGAAGACTTGTTCCACCACCAGAACCATAGGAGCGAGCCGGCCACGAACCTATGCTGATATTGTTGGCTATGATCACGGTGCCCCTGCCTTAACCGCTCGGCCATTTGGCTCGCTCAAATCATCTGTTGTAGTTCCACATATACAGTGAATATAAGCATGGACCTATTAATAGGTCCATGATATAAGGGTGTTTATTTGTGTCTGTATACACATCCACTTTAAACAAAAAAAAAATAAATGCCTGTATCGATTAAATTCCCCCTCAAAACCCTTCTCAACAATAAATGCACAGGGAATTTATTCAAATAAATACAATATACAAATCTGGTCATTTTTAATTAGCAAATGGTTTTACTGCACTTACAAAATTGTAAGTCATGCTTTCTGAAACTATTTTGAATTAAAAAAAAAATTGAATGAAGTTTGTATCAATTTGTTATTATGAAATCCTTCCTACTTTTACGATTTTGCTTCAAATAAGACAATGTATATGTATGCAATTGAGATAAATATATAAAAATGTTTGCTGAATAGAAACATTCATGCTGTGTAGAAAAAAAATTGTGCTTTTGTTATTTGCTTAGTTGATTTATTTATTGTTACCTCATATTGCCTGCCATTGTACTGACACTGACAGTCTAGTTGAGGCAGACACATATTGGAGTCAAAGATATCGTCACGGTAATATCCCTCTTCACACAGACAGTTTAAGCACATAGGGGAGACTTCACATGGACTATCCGCTCCAGCTCCAGTTGCAATATCAAGGCATGTTGCCTCACAGTTGCACACAGTACTGCACACTGCACATAAATAGAAATATATCTTTATTAGTTTTAAAATTTCAAGATAGTAATATTTTATTTATTTAAGAAATTGTTTGTATATACTTTTATCGGTTTACATATAAATTCTAGGACAGTCTGTCAGATTGGAAAACAATGGATACAGTAAAATGCTATTAAGGGGACACTAAATAAAATTGTTAAATTGTCCCATTAATAGGGGTTTATGGCATGTTTTCATACAACGATGACAAACATTCTTATAACTTGATTTTATTGACATAAAATTTTTAAAACAGATTTATAGCAATAATTTTCAATACAAATACAATTTATTTATAATATGAAATCAGCAGAAATGTAATTAAAACAACAATAGTTCAAATATTATTTCATGATACAATGTTAATGACCTAATATTCTTTTTCTTATATTAAGCTTTCTATTGGATGGATGTAGCATGAATAGAGTAATGACTTGGAATTGGGGTGCATGCTATGGTAAGGATTTAGAATCCTATATGAAAGTACACAAAAAACAAGGAAACGAATCCCCATGGTTAAGGTTAAAAACTGACAAGATTAGTTTATACGTAGTAATACATCCAGTACGCCTATACTAATGCTCACTCTAAGGATTCAGGAAGAAAATTCTGGCTTATTACTCAAAAGGTCTCAAAATATAAAGTTTAATGAATTTTTCATATTTTGAGACTGCTGTAGTTATTGTTATGATACAATGAAAAAAATAGGTGTCCCCTTAATAGGGGATATTTAACCATTTGGCACACACAGAAAGTGCCCCTGTCCCCTTAATATGGGTTGGCAGTAGTGTTACAAATTATGTTTCCCTTGTTTCACTGAAGTGTCCCCTTAATAGAAGTGTCCCCTGAATAGAGTTGTCCCAAAGGAGGGATTCTACCGTATAAGACCAGATAACATTCTTTATCATTTAATAGATATAAGCCCACCAAAATCGGCCCAATATCATGCTCAGAGGTCGGGGGCGAGCTTATACCCAATGGCAATCAAAGAGTGAAATTATTTGTTACACCATGATATACAAATACAGTATTTGTGCTTGAGCATTATACTTACCATATTCAGTTACAGTAACAGTTGCTGTAGTGGTCACTTCAGCTGTTCACAAATTATAACATTGATTGGTTATGACATCATTTAGCATATAATAATTACCAAATAGGCCTATCATAACAGTACATAAACCTATGCCTACAGCCCTTAGACAACTAACAAACTTGAGTCAAAGTAAAAAATTTAGTTGGTGTTCTAAAAAAAATGTATCAACAGGTGCTGAAAATAACCCTAGAGCATTTCCGATGGGACCCAGAGATTTATACTAGTGTTTATATTAATCTTTAAACATAAGACATTATTATGAATATCACATTAAAAAAAAAATGTATGTTTAAATTATTAAAACCAAATATCACTGTCTAAAATCTTCATTCCACATGCCTATACTATCACAAAGATATTTTGTACATTCCATTAAATACAGAATATAAAATTGTATTTGATAACAAACAGTTGTGTGCAAATAGTCATGATGTGCCTATATATGTTCATGATGTGATGTCATCATGACAATGTGTAGATATGCCGCATGCTTTTGCCAAATATAATTTGATAATCTGGACAGGGCATTTCTTTTGAAGAGTAACTAGTTTTTATGTGAAGTTGATTCACTAACCTGTGGTAACAACAGGAGGGACAGTGATGCATCTTGCTGATGAAATATCCCAGGCGTTCACAAATTCACTTTCAACTTGGCACACGTAATCGTAGCAATCAACTTCTAGTGTATCACCAGCCTGCAGATACAAGATTAATTATCTTCATTTTATACAAACAGACGTGGATCCAGACCTTCGCACTAATTGCCATAGTGAAGGTCAGGGTGAGACTTTAAAATATTTTATAAAAAATATAAAGTGATTGCTGCTGCAGTGCCTGGTGGTCTAGCGGTCTAGTTTCATAACATGCCACCTGCCTCAACCCAATTTGTGAAAACTGACCAAGAAAATCAGAGTTATAGCAAATGAAAGTGTATGATTTTTATAAAAAATCATGTTCTTATATAACATTAAACTGTGATTTTGACAACGTTTGACTAAAGTGCACAAAACAAACATTTGAGTAGATACAGAAAGCATATTTATTTTTTCTGCAAAGTGAGTCTCATGAACCACTAAACACCACCTCATCGGTGTAAGTAATGTTGCAATAACAAATATAATTTCAGCCTAATTTTGGCTTTTGTAATCACCGCACGACGTACGATTACCATGGTAACTGACACGCGCGTGGGTAATTCGTCACACGCTGACGGTGGATTATGGGTTGGTTGCTAGGGTTTTTGTGACAATCAGGGCACATTAAACTTAGCAGTGGTACCGACACATAGAATATCAATGCCGGAGTTATAAACTTTCATGTCCCTGGATGAACGGCATTCATTTCAAATAGTAAAACTGGCAACTATTACACACTAACAAGGAATTGTATCTTGTTATGGAAAACTGATAGGGATTGCCTCCTGGTGTACTTCCCCATTTACCACCAGAAAGACCCCACTGGAAACAAATCTTCAGACTTAGTGGGCTATCCTTGGTGTGATGTACATCAAAATACTCCTAGAAAGCTCTGTCCAAGACTATCAAATTTTTTAATTAACGGAAAACTGTTGTGTGCCCATATACAGTCATGATGTGCCTATATTTGGTGATGATGTGATGTCATCATGACCATATTTAGGCATGTCACACGTTTTTGTCAAATAAAATTTGAGAGTCTGGACAATGCTTACCAACATATCGTTTGTTTACGCTCAAAATGAACATAATGTGCTCTTTTCGCTTTCTATAATCTTTGATATTAACAATGCCGATTACTTACCACGTACACTGTACCCTCATATTCACACTGCGTTCGGCAAGAGTCTTCTGCTGGGTATGAGAAGCACATATCAGTGCCCCATTTTTCATCTTCTGCAAAGCCGTATGGGCAACCACATTCACCCAAGTTCTTCTCAGCAAGACAAGCCACCTGCTCAGACGATGATACAGGTGAAGCATCAAGACTATCAAGGGCGCGATACTGTTCACAATTCATCACATAGCTACAATGTTCGCAAGCTGTAAGAGAGTATATATCATGGTTACAAGCAGTTATGATTAAAAGGAAGTCAATATTATAGTAATATATGTGTAATCTGTAATCTATAAGGCTATAAGTTAATAAGGTAATAATAATGCAATAATAATAATAATAGTAAAAATAATAAACCTAATAATAACAGTAAATAACAATTAATATACCAATGATATTGTGACTATTGTCACAATGGTTTAACAATGCTACTGACATAGTAATAAATAATGCCATATAATTATAAATTATATGTTAAAAATAATAATGGAGATATAAGTGGCTGATTTTCATAAAAATATTTGAAAAGAGTAAACAACATTCATACGATACACAAAATTCACAACTATAACTAAACCTAGTTAAACAAGCAACCAGAAAGATTGTTTATTTCCATTTGGGTCTGACATTTTACTTTAATAGCTTAAAATTAAATTAAAATAAATTTTCCTGTTCCTGATTAAGCAATAATTTTTCATCAGTTTGCATTTATCACGTAATATTCCTATAATTTTCCCACAGCAGTCAAAAAAATGGATATAAAGATTGGTATGAACGCACCTGTATACTACGATATCACAAAGAATTTTTTGTTTCGTTTCCAGGCTATATATTTGCCTAAAAGGCTAGACAATTCTAAATAGAATAAACCTAGACTATGTCTAGCCTTGGCAACAAATAAAAAAAAAATGCCTAGGCTATATAAGATAACATGAGTGACTAATAAAGCAACTATTGTTAAGACGTTTTGGGCACTGTTTCAAAACAGAATCCTTATATTTTGCAACAGCGGCATCAAAACTTGACAATAACTGCCTAATGTGGTGCAACAGCTTACGCGGTACTGCTGTAGTAGATCTGGCAGTTGTAGCTGTATCAACACAATGACAGCACCCATCTGTTTCGACTCTCAACACCATTCCACGCTGAAATCAGAAACAAATGATTAAATACATTAATTTTTGTAATGATCTGATGTTTAATTCCATTTGCTTTATATTTCATCAGTTATCTCGTTAAATAGCTTGCTTTCTTGCATTTGTATATTTGATTGAATTTCACTACACAAACCAATTGTGATGTGGGAAATGTATGAGCGGTGCCCTGGAATGGACAGTTCTATTTATTTCACAGGGGTGTTCTGTTTTGAGAATCAAAGGTAAGTATTCACGAAAGACTCCATATTTTGAATTTAATTATACACTCATTTTTTTTCCATTTTGCAACATCTTACAATAAATTCACGTAAGCAAAAAATTCTGTCTTCGAATAGACTCGCAGTAGCGAACGAGACACGTGGTACTACTTGATCCTTCTAAAGGAGGTTCACTTTCAACGAACGTCGAAAAGGGAATGAGGACGTTTGTTAGGGAGACAGTTCGTACGTGGCGCCCTGGGTTGGACTGTTCCATTTATTTCGAAGGGGTGTTCCGTTTGGGAACAATGGTAATTAGTTGGTTTATCCAGGTAAGTATTCACGAAATAGACTTATCGTGTTAGTCAAGCAAAGGAATAGGTTGAATTTTAGGGTGATTACGAAACACCCACTAAAAATGAGCAAAAATTCTTGGATATATCTATTAATATTACAACAATTTTTCTTCTGAATAACAATGTACCCCTTTATTCTAAGAATTTACCTAGCATTTATCCATTCAAATGCTATCAAACAATCTGTCTTGCATTTCCAATTTCATCTAACAATTTGCCTGGCATTTCTCATTGCCTTATATTTACTCATTTGTTGAGCAGCTTAAAAGGAAGGATCATGATTTTTTACCTCTACACATTCTTCTTGCTCTACATTACAAGTAGTCTCGCATTCAACCCAGTCACTTGTGCCATTTTGTGCTCGACAAGTACAAGTCTGGCAGTCTGAGATAGCATAGACGTCGTCATCCTAAAAAAGTACAAAATCAAAAATTAACTTGGTGGAAAATTGATTATGAACTTCATCTTATTGGGTTCTCCATCTCTAAATTCTCACAACTTCTCAAAGCTGAGAAACATACAATATGTTTATAATTTGATTTTTTTTCCCTGTCTTTGTACCATTTAGTTTATGACACAGAAATGCAACTTGGTACGCACACACAACGGTACCCCACACTGCACCATGGGCACAGATCTGTTTTTAAAGGTGGGGGTGTGAAAATTTGAGGAAACAGTACCTCTAGATGGCCGGAAAAAATAATCTTATATGGTACAATTCATCATCATATACTCTGGCTGTACAGCACTCTTTCGTTAAAACATGGGTCATTTATGCAGTTCATTTCAACAATTTTCAGGCGTTTCTGGACATGAAATTACATTGTGGTCAAAAAGCTCCCCTTAAAATTATGTAGAGGGTCGTGTCCCCCTTGTTCCCCATGATCTGTGCCCATGCACAGTTTAAACAATTTCTATGTTTCATAAAAAGTAAGGTGCCACTTACATAGCAAATTTTGCAATAAACTACCTTTACATGAACACCTAGTCTAGTACTACTACATTTCTGACATTTCATGATCCTTTATTTAAAAAAACTTATGTATTTAGGTAGAAGCATAAATACCGCAAATGAAAGGCCATTAGCATAGCAGTGTGGTGGAGGACATGGTCCTAGATTCACACAATAGCCAGAACCAGGAGCAAACTCGATTCCATAGCTTTCTCTTAGTACAGTGCTTCCTACATCATCTTTGACGTAGCCACTTGGACAGATGCAACTGTCACAGCTCAAAGTCGATTCAAAGAGTTGGCTGCCCTCCACAAAGTTACTTAAACCGTTACAGTTAACCTCTTGAGTGCACTGGTCACCACAGACTGTAGTAAATATAAAGGTAAAGGTTGACATACATACATATATTGGGCAATTTTAATACCTCTCCTATGGAAGTCAAGTCCCTAGCCCAAGCCCTGTCTCTTATACACATCTAGATGTGTATAAGAGACAGATATATAATTGTAAATTCATGGGAAAACGATAAAATCATTTTTACTACTACCATTTTTATCGTTTTCCCATAATTATGACATCATTTGATTTGATTGTGAAAATATTTTTTCATAGTATACACGAATAATCGTTATCGAATCATGCTAGTGTGAAAACTTATCTTATTCCGTTTATTTTCAATATGAACAATTGCTTTTAAGCTTCTTATCATCGCTCGTTATCATCATAGTGCAAACAGGCCATAAGTAGCTAGAGTTTGGAATAGTATCCTCAGTCTTAAGGTAGAGATACACAATTGACAGTGGTTTTGGAATCTTACCTTGAATTTCAGTTGTTAAACCAGTCGTTGGGAAGGAATGATGGGTTGTACGCTCTGTTGTTACTGTTAATACAATAAAAAAATTAAATTGATTAGCCAATCAATCAATCATTAGTCAACATTTTTTATCTCATAGTATAGAAGAAATTATGCTAATAATACTAAGAGCAGCATTGTCAAAACTGTTCTAGCCTCTTGTTACAAACCAGGGGAGGAGGAAGCCAGGAGACAGGGCCATTGTTGGGGGAGCTACCCCTGTCAGGAAAAAAAAACCACAATTCGCTGGGAAGAAAATTTTCTGCACGTTAGTACTCTAAAATCAGTTAAATAAGGCCTTGAAACCCCTAAATTGTCATATATTTTGGGGGCTTCACCACCTTCACCACTTCCAAAAAATGTTGTGTGATGCCAAACCACACCCACATTGCTCTCATCGGGGACATCGCTGCCCCCTCCCCTATCAGCAAATTCTGGCATTAACCCTGTTACAAACTGAAGTTGAAAAATGAAACTTGCATAGATGTATGTGTGTGTCATAAGAGGCTGTGTAAGCTGATTGGCAATGGAAAGGGTTGCAATGTGGAATGTGAAGGGGTGTGTAAGGGTAAGGGTGTGTAGGATGAGGATTTTAATATTGACTGTACACTTGAAATTATTTGATCAACATTATCTCTACTTTTGTGTCTAGTATGGGGATTAACTGAAACAATTTTAGAATTGTAAAGGCCTCTAAAATGGTTTCTCACCTGGTAGTGTTGTGGTAGTCACAATCTGTGTCGTAGTTGGGCAATCACTAATGACGACGAGACATCGACCCACATCAGTAGTAGAATCAGCATCTACACATTCACACGAATCATCGCAACCATCCAATCGCTCACAGACTTCTGCCTGCCCACATCCAACTGTACAATAACAATGCTGGGGACAGCCTGAGTAATAAATCAATGTTTAATTTAAATACACATATATTGTTAACTACAAATTTAATAATCATGGTATATTTATTATAAATGACATAAGGAATTGTTAATAATAAAGACAATTTGTCTTCTAACCTCACTCCAATCTCAAGCTAACCTCACTCCAAAGACGAAGATATTAAAATCTTTTGTGCTGATCACTGCTCTACAGTATAACATAGATGGTTACTTACGTGGACGTGTTGTTGTTGGGAAGGTTGTAGTTGTTGAATGTTCTGGGGTTGGAGGTACACTTGGTGTAGATCCAGTGAATTCAGTTGGTGTTACAAAAGTAGTAGTAGGAGGAGTGGGAGTAGTTGGTGATGGTTCTGAAAATAAAATAAACATAAATTGCTTTGCATCGTGTACTGAGTAGGAAACGTAATTTATCATATTTTTTATTATGAACAGTAGTTATTTTTCCTGTTGGGAAAAAAGATATTGCCCAATTGGACTAATGTTTGTTCAATCTACCAAACTGAGCTATGAGGGTAAGTTTGTATACCCCTTGATTTTTCCTTGGTAGTCGGAACAACTTCGACTACAGCCCCTTTCAAAAGAAGGTCGTTCACCCCTGAAAACAGGGCTTCCCTCTTCTCGGGGGAGGCTGGAATGGGCGTGTTCATCCCTCCGTACGCAACCGGAGGGGAAGTAAACTCTATCTGGTACCCACGGGATATAGTCTGCATGATCCAGCTGTCCGGAGACAGCCGTTCCCATTTGTGGGTGAAAAGCATCAGCCTCCCCCCCTACCGGGCCGGTCCCTCCTTCTACTGAGGAACCGGGCCCCCCACCATGAACATCAGGAACGAGGATCACACCTCCCCCGCCGCCGACGCCGTGCCCTGTCGGCTGAGGGAGCAGCCCGGGCGAATTGTCGATTGGTGGCAAGAGCAGGAGCAGGAGGGACAGCGGCTGCGGGCTGCAGGAGGGGATGCAACAGAGGCTGTTGCTGCTGGGGCTGATGTGACGGCCTCGCGAACGCCCAGCGCTGGGAACGCGCTGAACAGCGGTCACGGCGCGGGAACTTAGCCCTAGTCTGACGCCGCGCTTCCAACTCCCTAGCCCAAGCCTCTTCTTTGGCCGCGAACTGGCCAAAGAAGAGGTCCTCTGCCTCAAAAGAGGGGCAGTCTAAAAACCGATCAAAGTGACCGGGGCTGACCGTCGTCGCCCGGAGCACATTAGCCCTCTGGGCCGCGCCGGCAGCCTAGGCGATGGAACTAAACTGGTCCAAAATAAGGCCAATGCCCGCCCGAAGGACGCCAATGGTGTCCGGGACGAGAGTTGGGTTAGCGTCAGCATCAGACAAGAAGGACAAAGCAAACCCCGCCCCATTCACGGCGCGTATGCCCTCCCGAGCCGCGCGGTCCACAAAGGCCAAAGCCTCCTCAGCCGCGCCCTGAGCTTTGTTAGAAAACAAAGCCTTAGAAGTAGAAGAGAGCTTCTGATCCT